GGTGGAAGCTTGCATGCGCCTGCTCGATTTCACGATTCAGGGAAAAACCCATGCGGTTACTCAGCTAACGGTTCATCTCGAGTCAGGCCAGACGATTTGCTTTCGCGAGACGGAAAACCCGGAGGCAGTTTTGGAACGTGGTAGTCACACGATGCTGACCAGATTCTTTGAGTTGTGTGCGAGCGAAGTGCCCGAGAATCATATTGCCAAGACGATGTTGTATCAGGATATCCCCAAAGAGTTCTGCTGGAAAGCGCCGGAGAAAGGGCAACCGAAAAGGTGGGTTCGCCGGAAACAGTATCAAGCAGCTGTTGGTCGCATGATTCACGTGTCTCCTCGAGATATGGAGCGGTTCTACCTTCGGCTACTGCTCTGTCAGCGTAGAGGTCCAACGTCGTTTGAAGACTTGAGAACGGTTAACGGAATTGTCTGCCCAACATTCCAAATTGCGGCGCGGGAGGCTGGCTACTTGGAGAATGACAACGAGTGGGTTTCGTGTTTGACGGAAGCGGCTGAGTTCCAAATGCCGTATCAACTACGCCAGCTCTTCGTCACCATTCTGGTGTATTCAGCTCCAGCAAATGTTGGTGTTCTATGGGATCGGTTTTTCGCGGATCTTTCCCAAGACTTCGCACGCAAACATCAGGCTTTGATGAACCCCTTCAAGTCGGCGTTGGTCGAATTTGAAACGCTGATGAGCATTCAAGAACTACTTCAAGCGAGTGGGTATGCGGTAGCTGACTTCGACGAGCTTCCTCAGTTGGGGTCGTTCCCAACATTGATTCGTGAAGCGCTTCGCCAAAACGGATTACTACGACGTGAGCTGACTGGATACGACGCGTCATCTTTGGAGGCAATTGTAAGCACAGAAGATCAGCTAAACGAAAGTCAGCGGGTGGTTTACGACCAGATTATTGAAGCGGTTGAATGCCCGGAGGAAGGCAACAAGTTATTTTTTGTTGATGGCCCGGGTGGTACTGGAAAATCTACATTGCTTCGAAACATACTGGCCAAAGTCAGACTCTCGGGGAAAATCGCCATCGCTGTGGCGTCTAGCGGTATTGCCTCGCTCTTGCTCATGGGTGGTAGGACAGCTCATTCTACATTCAAGATTTCTTTGAAATTGAACGAGAGCTCGACGTGCGGTATCAGGAAGAACTCCCATATTCAGGAGTTGATTAAGCATGCAAGTTTAATTATTTGGGACGAAGCACCTATGGCCCATCGCCACGCATTCGAGGCAGTAGACCGAACACTGCGGGACATACTTGACAACGATACCGAGCCTTTTGGGGGGAAAGTGTTTGTACTTTCGGGAGATTTCCGCCAGATTCTCCCGGTCGTTAAGAATGGAACACCCGTCGAGACAATTGACGCTTGCCTCAAGTCGTCTAGGCTGTGGCCCCAATTTCAGACGTTCCGTCTTACGGAAAACATGCGAGTGCGCACAGCTGATACTGCAGACACTGCTGAGGAAATGGCTGCGTTCTCCGAGTTCCTGCTGCAAGTCGGGGAGGGAAGGCATGATGTAAACCCTTCTCTAGGAAACGATTACATGAAGATCCCGCGCGATATGCTGATTGAGAATCCACCTGTGCCTGAGGATGAGGACCAGGAAATTCGTCCGGGCGTTATTCCAAGAGGCATGGATCGGATCATCGACGAGATGTATGGCGAGATTAATAACCCCGAGGTTGCTACCGACGAGTATTTCGCTAACCGAACGATCCTCACGACCACGAACGCAATCGTGCACCGCATCAATGAAGCGGTGACCGATCGATTAACTGGACAGGCGCGGGAATACATGTCTTCCGATTCTGTACAAGACGACGGTGATGGCAATTTCTTCGAGCAGGAGGTACTCCACTCGATGAATATCAGTGGAATGCCGCCCCACAAGCTGACCCTCAAGGTAGGAATGCCTATCATGATGATGCGGAACCTGAATCCAGATCTAGGGCTGTGCAACGGAACACGGCTTCGAATTGTGGCCCTCAAGCCACATGTCATCCACGCCACAATCATGACCGGTGAGCGACAAGGGCAACATGTGTTGATTCCCCGCATTGTTTTCATCAGTGACGGAGACATTCGGAGCTTTCCGTTTCATTTGAGACGCAAGCAGTTTCCTGTCCAACCGGCCTTTGCGATGATGATTAACAAGGCGCAAGGACAAACGGTGCAGTACTTGGGGCTGTATCTTGCTACGCCTTGCTTCTCCCACGGGCAGCTGTACGTTGCGATGTCGCGAGTTACTTCAAGATCAAGATTCAAGGCGCTGGTCGAGTACCCAAAGCTGGAGGAGGAGGATGGGGTCTACGCCCAGAATATTGTCTACAGACAGATCTTTGGTTCGGAGTAGGAATGTTCAACTTCAAATGCATTTAATACATAACGTTTACATAAAACATGTTTAAGCGCAGCGAAGGCGTGAGCCCATTTCCCCTGGGACTACAGCCTGCCACCTCCGCCGCGAAGCGGCGGCGAACGGCTAGTCTTAAACATCTACTGCAGCAACCTGTCTGTCCGTCACACTAAATTGTCGTGCCTGTCACGCTTTTCCGGACAAATCATTGGATAAAATAATTTAAATATTTCTACTGGCTGCCGAGCGCAGCGAAGGTGGCTTTAATTGGTTAAAACTAGAATGTGTAGTTACCATCAATAAATGCATGTGTTTCCCAGTTTACATATGGGGATTTGCACAAGGCTATACATTATCCAAAGGCATCGTTTAAATATTATATACTTTTTTATAATGCATGTTGCTATTGATATTTGAGTACTAAACGGAGGGCAGGGTGCCTATCGTACACGTAAGCATGCGTGTTTCCGAGGACATGGTATAAGTATACTAAATACTCTGTACCTGCGAGTTACACTGACTAAAATGATAATTTCACTTTTTTATTGTAAAGATATTAGCATTATTAATAATAAGTTATTTCTGGTATTGCTAAATCGTACATGTTACATGTACAGCAGTAGCCGGTCGTGTGGGCTTGCCGTAAGAACAAAGCTGTGCTTATAAACGTTGTCACTAGATCCACAAATATAGATAGTTTAGATTGACGTGGAAAAGAAGTAATATGTGCTGATGACAATTACTACTGTATTGTTTCCTAAGCGTTTATTTAGACAACAAAATTCTGATACTCCTTAATAGGCAGACGCGTTGCCGACAAGGCGTAGAATAAGGTTTTACATGCAGCGGTAAGATAACAACACAACATGAGAGGTGTAAATTATGGTTATTATAAGTAGGCCCGTAAAGAAACGTTAATCAACTTAGAGCCTAATCTACGTTTAACCATCCTGGAATCATCGTTTAAGTATCAAATAAAAATACCGCCGTCAACAAAAGGCGTCGTGCGACGCATCGTTATATCCAAAGGCTACAGTATAACCATAACAGGCACAGATTGGAGTGTCTAATGACTAATTCTGAATCAGCACAAAATGAACACACTTCAATGCATAAGAAAATGCTACAGCCTGAATATTTTTATTAAATATTCAAACTGTTACACTTTTAATTTTCTTTCAAAGTAGATGCGAAGTGGTAAATAGTCAGTTTATTACAAGCTTAACCAGGCAGTACAAGCGGGTATTTGATGCAAGCTGGACAGATATTCTTTGCATTGTTGCAATCTAGGTTTCAGAAACGGCCCGTGAAATCGATCACGACGCTAAACTAAATATATTATTTAGCGTTTTTAGACTGAAGTGCAGGTGCTTCTGGGTGGAAGATTAAGGTACAGTGATCGCCAACAACAACAAAGAGACTTTGCCAAGATCACTAGCGTAATCGTTTATGAGCATGGTAAGTATGATGCTAGGGTCTCAGTCTTTTGTACCGGTAGGAATATTTACACGGCTTACTGGGAGCTCAGCAATTTGTAGCAAAAGAAACGCAGATTTATAAAAATAAAGAAGTCGATTTAGGCACATGGGGGATTGGACTAATTATCCCGCCAAAGCGAAGCGAAGGCGGGAAGGCAAAAATCTAGAGTAAAACCTAAATTACCGCCGCGTAGCGGCGGCGCTCGGCTAGTTCCTGAAATAATAACAACTGCAACGACAGTGTAGCGGAGCTCTTCGCCCCGGGCTTGTGGATAAGGTGTCTGAAATTCGGTTTCATCCAGGACACCAGGTCTCAACGCTACTTTTCACCTAATAGGATTCATGCAGTGGATCGCCAACAGACGCTTGACACCTCTACCGAAGCAATGGCAGCGAGATGAAGCTTAGAGGAGTTAACACTCAACCCACAGCGGTCGATCCTCGGCCATCCCAATCGACTCGTTTCGAGTTCTCGATGGGTGTGTTTCCAGTGGCAGATCGCTCAACCGGACGATCCACAGCTGGGCAGTGGAGTCGGACACACGAATCTTGGGCTTGGAGGAGGGAGGCCAAGCCTCAAGCCAATGCAGCGAGCTAATACCCTCAACGCATGGGCGTGCACTGCGCTCTCCAACGCACGTGCGAAGGTTGTCTGCTTCCTTCTTAATGGCCAACAACAGAGGAAACGAACAGCTTGATGCTTTATATTTCCAGACTGCAACCGTCGCCAGCTTTTTGGTGGGGCCTCTGCCAAGACCTGGTGCAAAGACAAATCGAGCAAGAGCAAGCAGAAACAATCCAGTCCCATACGGCGACCAGCCCCTGGAATCAAAATACACATCGCGTCTCTTTGCGTGAAACGATCAAGCAAAGCGCCTCTTGAGCAGCAGAACTCAGTCGTTCAAGCGCTCCTCGAACCAACAGACTAAGACCCAGCTGAGCCCTCTAACCCTTATCCAAACATGGCGCTTCGAGCTCGATCCACCAAGCGCGCGCGTCCGCAGACGTCGCCCAGTGCCAAGCACGTGAGTTGTGACGACGTGTATTTCCGCCAAGCGGGACTCGGACTCGTGGACAGCCAGCTCGACGACCAGCCGCGTCGTAAGCGTGCGATGGTCTCCGCTAATCTACGATTCCTAGAGAAAATGCCCCCGTTACGGGACTACCAGCGTGACCGCTTCGGACGTCGTGGAGGCGTCGATGGCGGCGCCCCACACGCCGCGGAAGGAGGTAATTCGCTCTGGATGCGAGCGCTAGAAGAGTCAATGGAAGAGACGAGCTTCGTGACGCGAGAGGCGCCCACGTGTGCGGCATTAGTGGCGCCCGTGCCTCTACCCGTGGACAACCGCAGACCTACCAGCTTCGTACCTGTCCCCGTAGCAGTCATGGGGGTCGGCATCTCGTCTTCTCCAAGTTTCAGCATTGCAGACGAGGACGCAATTCGGAGGCGACGGCTCTTCGCGTTGCAAGCGGCACGAGGCGGCAAAGACGACGAAGCTCGACCGGCCACCGAAGGCTTGGCCTTGTAGCACAGGAGGAGGTATGTAGTGCGCTTATGTCGTAGGAATGACGACTGCTAGGACTTTTCTCTCCATTTGTGTGGCGTTGAGTGTCTAGTTAGGGTCTCTGCGCACCTCATTCATCGGAGCTTGAGGCGACTCACTATTCGCTCCTTGGTCACCTACCTGGTGGTCGGTATCTTCGAGTTCGCCGCCTAGAATACGGTCCCATTTCTCCTCTGCCGACATAGCGAAGATGCTCTGAGAATGTCTAGCTACCACTTGCTGTATGCTACGCTGAGAGTGTCGAGGTGGCAGCTTCCAGTTGAACTGGGTGCTGGTTGTAGGACTGGATGGTCGTCCGCAGCCGAACGGTGTTGGACGGATGAGTTGCGACTGACTGCCGGCTTCCGATACCCTTGAAGACAGCGACGAGGTCGACGAGGGACAGCCTGAAAGCTTAGATCGCTTGGCTTGAGGAGGAGCGTTCTCTTCATCCGTCAAGCGGTCGGTATCGCCGATTGCTTGTGAGACGTCGCCAAGACTGGACCTGCGCCCTTGGTCGACCTTGCATAGAACTTCTCCTTTAAAGCCGCTGCCTTTGCCATCTCGTCTTCGGTTCACTGGGTTGCGGATACGCTTAATGTGGTCCCGTACAGGACGTCGCACGAAATCCTTTAAATCTTGCGCGTTGATACTGGAGCTGGGACGGTCGTGCAAAGCAGGGAGCGGCTTGAAGTTCTCGCTTACCTTTGGACTACGGAAGTTGACGATGTGGTCGGAAGAGCCCAAGACGCTGTCAAGGTGCGTCCAGGATGATTGCGATGACGGTCGTGGCTTCTCGTAGAGGAGACGTGGCATCGCTGTGCGTGTGTTGACCGGATCTTCTTGAGACGAGTCGGCTGGAGTGTTCGTGCTTCGGTCATCTCGTCGATGGGGCAGTAGCATGCCGCTGCTTTCCGATGACGTAGAGGACCGCGTTCTGCTCGTCTTCGTCTTGGAAATTGTCTGCTGTGCATCAAGTAACACAGCGGCAGCTGCGTCTTTCCACACGTAACTTTCATGCGTTGTTGGATGGATTTCACCTGCTGCGATGGACGCGACAACGTCGTCTCGAAGCTCCACGTTGCCGAGGAAGTGAAGACCTTTATCCACATGTGGCAGAATGTCTTTGGAAATGTCCAGAGGGCTCAACATTTTCAGCTTCTGGTAGATCAAACAAGCATAACCGTTAGAAAATTTACGATATAATTCAGATTGAACGAGTGGGGACGCACAGCATCACGCGGATCAAACACGAGCTGGTGGCGATATGTGAGGATCGCCGAGTAAAATTGCTCTGGATAATCTTCAGACACCGCTGAGCCTTTTTGCTGCTGTAATGCTACCAACACCTGCAGAATCCCGGTCTTTGTCAGCGTTTTTGGCCTCATGCACGTCGAGGTGCTGCATTCCTACCTCCGCTGGCGTCTTGTACGTGTTCACGAGCTTGTAAGCTGTGATGATGCCGACGCCACTGACCGACGCACAGTAATCGCATCCAGCGAGTACACACAGCTGAATAAACTACGCGACATTACTTTAGCCACCCCGCCTTCAAGGCTCAGCAGTATGATTCAGCAAACCACGCACCATTTCTTCGGTCCAGCCAGCGAGCGACAGCTCTTCGTTGGCGCCCAGACTTCGTCTCTTGAGTTCACTGCCCCATCCATCCGGACTCAGCTTGAACAGCACCGTCTTGACCCCATACGGCACGCAGTCCGAGTCCTGCGAGATGACCACGTCCACGATCTTCTGCCTCGATAGAAACGCCAGCTGAGCGTCCGCCTCGTATGGGGCGACGTAGAATGTGATGTTCATCCGTCGCAACACAGCGACGAGTCTCATGACCATGTCGTTGGTCACCGACACAGCTCTGGCGCACGCTGAGAAGACTGCGCGAGGGTCCTGATCCTCTTTTTTCTCCTGCAGCAGCTTCTCGGCCTTGAGTTGCCAGTCTCGACGAGATCTGCCGCGATAATTTCTTTAGCAATGTGAAGATTACTATTAGCTGAAACTTCAACTGTCTGACCTGCCACGATTAGCGTTTTCCTGGGCTTTAGACGGCAATGGAGCTCCGTCAAACACCAATATGGGCGTGATGTTGTGCGTTTGCAGTAGTTTGATATGCTGGATGGCATAGTTCAGGTATCTGTGACGTGTAGTTGCAGTTTTTAGCACTAATTTAAGGACTTGAAATACTAAAAATGAGGTTAATTCGTTCCGCACGCGTCTGTCGGTCTCCCTAGCACGAGGTCCACGGGGCAGCTATACGCGCCCTTGTACAGCCAGTCTGAAGCGTCCACGCCCAAAGTCTTGCCTGTGTACTTGGATATGTGCACCTGGTCCGTGACGCTCTTGAGCACCGGCAACAGACCCGTCACACCCATCGCGGCCTTTGGCGGCAGCTTTTGACTTTGAATCTGGCGCCAATTTTGGGGCAGACGATTGGATGAAATGCATAACAGGACCATCACTCTGCTCCGCACTGCAACTTAACTAAAGATTTAAAGTTTTATGCGACGTGTGAGAATTGGAATGACAATGATATTTCTCTCGTTTACATGTAATTCTGCAGTTTTCGGTCCGTTAGTACGCAGTGGATGTCCTGCTCCACGCGGCGAATGTGATTCTGAATGGCTGTCGGATTCGTGTTGTCCGCGTGGCTAGGAAAGCCCTGTAAAAAGCAGTGCAATGAGCATCAGCAACGCGTACTGAAGTACTCCGTACAACAGACTAACGTGTCATTGACGTTACCTGAACGGATCGTGCATATCGTCGGTAGAACTCACGCGTGTCGGGTTCTAGCTGGCGGCTCTCGCGAAGAATACGGCGATACAAGCTGCGTGAGTTGCGCTGGACTTGAGAGAGCATAAGCGGCATGGTGGACCGTCGTAGCTGGCAAAACAGGAAGTGAGGTATTGCACGAGAAACACCTCTCGCTACAAAGAATGCAACACCTTGCGACTACACGATCAGTTTTTTTTAGCTACATGACTTTAATTTCTTCCTATCCGGTCGACTGACTTGAATTTGCACCAATGTTACTGGGAACTGAGTCCGTTACTGACGGACTTGCTGAGACAGGAGCGGGAGTGACTGGAGCAGCGGCTTTTGGGCGCGCGTGTTTCTTGGCAGGTTTGCCTTTGCCTGAACGTTCTGGCCACTTGTCTTCGCAGAACGACCGAGCAGCATCTAAGTACGTTTCCCACGCTGCGCCGCCCTGTGCGTCGTAGATACGAGGAGGCAGTTCGTCTCGACGTAGAGCATTCAGGATAACTGCAACGTTTGCGTTGAAATCGCCATCCAGAATCCTCGCGTCCTTCGCCAATAACGACATCTCGGTCGAGTACGTGGTAACTCCCATGAAGAACACAGCTACCATTGGCAGCTCGGCGTTCTCCAACAACAACTCGCAGTTGTCCACCACGTGCTTTAGACGTTGCTGCGCATTCAGCACTTCCAGATAGTAAGTGTACGTCTTGGCTAGCTGCTTAAGTAGCGCGTCTACTGGTCGAGTCTCTGGCAACTGTGTCGACGTTATCACAGTCGTCGGTCTCTCAGCAGCCGTTGTGGTCAGGAACTCTTGGAGTCGACTACGCAGCACCTTTCCTCTTGCTTCCAGTACTATACCGAGCATGATATCAATCACGTCGTGCTCTTCCTTGCAGGCAAGCACCCAGGCCCCCACCTCCTTCAGTCGCCCATACGCCGCGTTTTCTCGAAGCAGAGCGACGTAGAAGCGCCAATATTTTAGTCGGTAGTAGTCGTACTTCATCTGTCGTTGATTCAGCTCTTCGAACTTCTTGGCGGTCGGAATATACTCGGAAAACCAGATCGCTACCACCTGCGGGCGTCTCTTGTCGAAGATGGGGGCCATCTCCTTCAACGCTCTAGCTGCGGCGTCCGAGGGACCCACCACTTGGTCTTCGCTTCGACGCGCTCGTAAAGCTTCGAGTAGTGCGTTAATACTATCGCTCTTGTACGAGCTCTGCTCGAGAGCCGAGTAAAAAGTTGACAGCCAGTACACGAGACGCGCCAGCACATAACGAGACGGATGGAAGTATCGATCTTCGTCTGGAATGGACTCGAGAGCCTCGGCGATATTTAGAGCAAGCCAGCCTCGCGCCAGAGTGACGTGTAGTTCACACACGGTAGCATCGCGTTCAGCATCCGCCAGCAGCGTCAGAATCTCCTCCTTCCTGGTGAAGCTGGAGGTTTGGGCCTCGCTGGCTTCTGTTGTCTTGGAGCTGCTGACCTCCACGGTATCAGAGAGGGTGGACGTCTGGCTGTTCTTCTCGTCCTCCCCAGTGGAATCAGCGCTTTCTTCTTCATCGTCTTCTTCTTCTTCGTAGAAATGGCTACATACCAGCCTTAACGCTGATGTCGACGGAGACTCGCTGATAGTGAGATCTATCCGCAACGCTTGAAGGGAATAAAACGCATGGACGAGAGTGTGTTCTCGGTCTCCTTCTTCACGAGCAGCTTCGGCTTTAGAAAAGCAGTCAGCCATTTCCGTTGCAGTCGTTAAAGCCTCGGGATCTGTCCGATCGTGTCGACGTAGCTCGCACCATCGTCTCTTCTTCAACGTTTTGCCGATCATGTACAGTAGACGGAAGAGATCTTCATGGGCGTCTTCGTTGGCCTCGCGGACTTCCAATCCTCTTTGGAAATACGCGAGCGTCTTGGTGACCAAGCGAGAGTACACGTCGCGAGGGAACAGTGCGACGTTCATCTCCTTCATCAACGAGAGCTCCTGCAACACATTATACAGCAGTAGACCGCTCTCTTCGTTACACTCGATCATCTTGTTCTGCAGATCTTCCAGCTCTTCGTCCAAGTCGGTCTCTTCTTCCATTGCAGCCTTGTCTCGCTTCTCTTTCAGCTTCGTCTTGTGGTGCTCAACAGCCTCTTCAGCCAGTCGTGCAGCCATCTCGAAACAGCGTCGAGCGAACTCAATCACTTGCATGATATATGTCGTGGCAAACTCTTCAATAGAGACCTTGATTTGAGGATTTAGGTCCTGGAAGGAACTCTCTTTCGACTCTTCCGTTGAGTCCTTCGCGACTTTGCTGCCAGTTTTGTGTCCGTCCGCGTCTTTACCTTGCCACTCTTTGATCCTTTTGAACAAATCCCAGCCCAAAACCACATTCCGGAACGAAAAAGTGTCGAGATCAGTCTGTCCTCGAGTGTTTTCCAACGAGTCACGGGCGAGGAACTTGGTTGTGTACCACTGGAAGGCCTGGATCCGGAGCTTCCGTCCGAGCACCGCCGCGAACGCATCCGTGGCAGCATGATACAGTTCCTTCATGGTCTTCCCCAAACGAATCCACGAGTCAATGCGATCCGGATGATAGTACAAAACGTCCTTCATCAAGAACTCCACCCGCTCTCGAACATGTTGCTCCATCTCCGTCAACTCGCTTAGATTTCCTCGTCGTTTGACGCGTCCGAGGATGAAATTCGCCCCCATGAGGTACCACAAGTGGCCCAAGCAGGTTTCATCTGGTGACGTTGTTGTGATGCTGCTGAAATCAAGAGGGAGCGGTGGAGAAACATTCCCTTGAAGCAGACCACGTGGGGTTAGATATGTCTCTAACAGCGGAGAGACCGTAGCAGGGTGTTCCGATAGAGCTGCGAAGCTCGAGTCGGAGAGGGCGTCGCGAACAGCGTACAGGAGCTTGAGTCGCTCTTTCTTCTGTCCATTATTCTTCGGCTTCGTGGCTAATAGAATTGGCACAGCAAAGCGAGCCAAACGCAGCGCGTCCTCGTGTCGAACAGACTGTTGTGCGCTCTGGAGAGACGTGAAAGTGGTCCCTGCTTTGTGGTCTTCACACCCGGGTACGATTTGCACGTCGTACAAGCAACGATAGCACTGACAAAGCTCGTTCTGGAACCAATCAGCAGCTTCTTCCTCGTCCTCTTCAGCGCTGTCATCGTCGGATTTAATCGGAGACTTTGCTGTGTCACGAACACTTGCTTTCTGCTGGACAAACTTGCTCAACAGCACTGTGCACGTTTCGAGGAAGCACGCGCTCTTACAAGAATCTCCTGAGGTCTCAGCAAAGAACGTCAAGCCGCAGATGCCGCGCTGTCCGAGTCTTTCGTGAAGAAGATGAACCAACTTGATGAGTTGAGTAGGCAACGCAGGCGTGTCGGGGCGATAGAAACTCTCAAACAGGAGCACGAACAAGATGGCTCCGTTGCCGAAAAGCTGTTTTGGGGTCTTAGCATCGCTCCGTGTCATCGTCTCCTCCTCCTCTTTCATCAACGTGCAGCACAAGGTCATTATAGCAGATCGTTTCAGCAGTGGAAACGACATCGCGAGCTTGTCGTCGGCCTGGAAGGCTCTGTTCAGGAAGCGCAGCAGCTCCACAAGAACCGACCGGATGCGATCACGACGTGGCTGCTTCCTCTTGACAGGATGAGGCACCAGTGTGAACAGATCCCGGAATTCCTCACACGATAGCGACCGGATGACGTACAGTAATCGCGCCATAGCATCCACTCCGACCTTCCGCTGCGTTCTCTCGTCATCCGCCGACTTCTCCATGTCCAACACACTTCGTATCCTCGTCAAGATGTCGTTTGGCGAGTCGAATCGTAGCAAAATCGATGGCTTCAGACACCTCACACACAGTCCACGCAGCAACAACTCATGGTCACGGGTAGCTATCCGTTCGCAGTTGTTCTGGGTTAGATGCGACAGTAAAAAGTCCATTGCAGCGAGCGCATTCGCACACGCTTCGTCTATCGAGTCATCGGTCGTACAGGGCTCTTTCTTGACTTCCAATCCGTCCAAAAACTCGACCACATAGTAAAGCGAAGTCAGTAGAAAGAGCACCGTGTCTTCATCCGAGAACTTGGAGCTTTGGCCAATCGACTCTAGCAACAATTCGAACAGCTTTGTGCTGTTCTCGCCCCGCGGGAGTTCGTCACTGTCAGTCTCGAATTCGTTCAGAAAGTCACTCATCCGAGGGACTTGATTCGAAGGGAAAAAGTGTCCTATCAGGACCGAGACGACGCCATCGTGATCTCCAGTTTCGAACGAACGTCGAGCCTCGGAGCACACGTCCGAGAAACGCAGACCGGAGATCTTCTCGTCCAAAATGGCCAAACTGATCTCGTTTTCGGCTTTTTGATTGGGTAAATCAACTCGAAACGAGGCAGCACTGTCGTCGTCTCCTTCGTTGACTTCAAGGAGCTTCTCTCTGCATTTGATGAAGTAATGCTGCGCCATTTTAGGGTTCCCGCAGCGGTCGTACATACGTGCTGTGAGCCAGAATAAACGCAGAAACTCACCTCCTGTTGGACAGCGTGAAGTCTCCTCCGAGTCCTCCAGCCAGCCAAACTCGAACAGCAGCTTCTGGGCTTGAGCTAGTTGAGTCTCCACTAGTTTTCTCATCCGGCGTCGCCTTTTCCTATGAACTGGCTGCTGCAGAATCGAATCGAAGTGCAATTCCAATAGAAAAAGCTGAGCACCGAGCGTTATTCCATTCCCTAGGAAGCGACTGTTTTGGCTAAGAGAGTGATCGGCAACGGTAATTACAGAGGACGGCGTCGAGGTTGTCGCTTTAGCGACATCTAGCTCTCCGTTCAGAGCCTTTTCCAGCCACGTACACACTTGGTTCAGCTCTTCGTCACTATCAAGCTTCAAGTGGGACCACGTACCGCAGTGGTTGAGATAGTGCCGTATCCAGTGCAAAACGCCACGAGGTGACACTGTCTGGGCGTCGTAGTCGCTGATAAAAGACGAAATCCTTCTCCCAGTCACACACTCGACACGTGCCGTTACTGTCGGTGTCGCCAGCTCTCGTGGCGACGTCTGTGAAGACTGCAGGTCCGTACTACTCGCATATCCTGCTGTAGACGATAGCACGAACGACGCCGTCTTTAACAGGGTTTCCTTGCTGGCGTCCGAGATAATGAACTCGGTATCAACGAGCTCAACGTTCAGAGGTGCCAGCCAGTCGATCGCGACTGCCTCCGGGGTAGAGTCCCTGTCTTCCTTGTCCATAGAGTCAGGGAGGAAGCCTCCGAGCTGATAAGCCAGATCCTGTTCGCGAGCTTTCTTCACTGCCGCAGCATGTTCTTCCCGCAATCGTTCCTCATTACGACGTGACTTTCTTCTGGGCTGTAGCGCCAATAGTTCACTTAAGTAAGTACTGCTATCTTGTGTGTCGTTATCAGAGATCCCTGTCGACAGAGCGCTCTCCAACGCTGCAGAGACTCTCGCTGTCTCTTTATGTTTCGCACGCTTTACGGGAGGAGAATTACGTTGCGTCGGGTGTTTGTCTGTATCGTCCTTCTCTACTGTCTCGTCCTTCTCTTCCCTCTCCATCTCCACAGCCCTCTCCACTTCCTGCGCATCGAACGCCACCTTTATCTCCACCGCCGTCCGCATGACATCTGCGTGCTCACTACTGTTAATCTCCTCGAACACTTCCAATAGTAGTTTCCCTAACGCAGTCCATGACGGTTGTTGCAGCTCGTAGCTCCTAAGCTGCATCCTACTCCTCAACTCGTCATTCATCGCTTGTAGTAGTAGTCTCCTCTTCGTCACGCCATCGTCTGCAATTTCCTTTAAATGTTGCAATTTTATCTTCGCTTTCTTAAGTAGCTTTAAATCTCTTGTCGTGGGAGGCCTCGCTCTCTTCTTCGGACCGTCTAGCGCCTTCAACGTAGCACAGTGAGGGTCGTTCTTACGCAGATACTGCGCCACTCTCTGGTACTCTTCCTCGTCTCCAATTTGGCTCAAAACTTGAGCCAATGTCTCGACTAGAGGCCAGTATGTGGCATCCACCTTCAGTCCCTCCTCCAAAGTCCTCCGCGCGAGCCACAGCTTACCTGTCTCCAAGGCAGCTGTAGCCATTTGATACCAAACCACGACGTCTGTGGCGTCCAGCGCTAACGCTGCGGCGAAGTACTCGAGAGCGTGCTCGAAAGATTGTGCTTCTTGCTCCATTGTGGCCACGTTCTTGTTGCAAAGATACTCGAGGCGCGGACTCACGCGCACATGGCCGCTAAGTAGCTGCAGATAGAGGGTCTTGGCCTCCACCGTTTGTCGCTGTTGCTGGCAGCGCAGCGCTCGCTCGTACACCGCGGCATTGTCAGCATCTTGAGCCTCTTCTGTGGCGCGCTGATCCGCGAGGTTGACTCGGGCATCGCCGCCAGACACATTCAGCGCCGCCCAGGACGCCATGGTACCAACTTCTGGTTTATTTTGCCAGTGGGGTATTCACCGTATTACATGTACTACGAGTAATATTTTCAATTCAAACTGCAGTACTACCGGTACTCTAGAAATTGGTTATTTTTCTACAGGGAGACCCAAAAGCATGACCAAGAAACGGCGAAATGGGCATACGCGCCGCCGCTCGTTCTCGGAGAGCGATGTGCAAGCGCGAGTGAAGAAAGCCAAGCACAACAAAGAGGACATCTCTGTGTCCACGTCGGCGGCCGCGGTGGCCCATTTCCACGCGCTGCAGAGCTGTTCTTCCAGTGCCGCTCTCGCCGACGTGTTCGAGTGGCTGGGAGACGCCGTCATTGGCGAGTTGGTGGGCCGCTGTCTGTTGTCTCAGTTCCACCAAGCGCCATTGAGTGCGCGAGTATTCCGCAACTTAAGATTGGCAGTGGTGACGAACCGCAACCTAGCGCAGGTGTACGGTGCCATGGGGTACGCTGTTGTTCAGCGTCGAAACCTCCAGGAAGATGCAAGCTGGAAGAAGATTAAGTTGAAGCAACGTGCAGATGTGGTTGAAGCGGTAGTGGGTGAGTTGGTGCTTAAGTTGCACCAACGCAAGGACGACGCGGACGGCTATCGAGCTCACCTGGACACGGTATTGGCCTCGATGCTGCATTGTCACTTTACAGAGAGAAGTCAAGCAGCCAAGGAGAAAGGGGAGACGGTGATGGCAGCCAAAGGACCGCTAAGTGTGGCGTTCAACCCGTTCGCGTGTTTGCCCGAGGAACAACTGGACGAGACTACAGGGGAGCTGATCGTCACTAAAGGGGTCGACATATTCGAGGCGGATGAGGAAGAGAAGGATGAATATGAATACGAAGCAGTGGGGAGTAAGGATAGTACTACTCCACATCATTATTTTGCTGTAGGAAATGATACGATTAAGGAAGATACTATACGAGTGGCTATGAAGCAGCTGGATCGAGAGCACATTCTACGAACGTCGAGGGAGATTTTTGAAGTCTTCAAGGTGTACGGAATGGCAGTACTGTCCGAGAGATTAAGTTTATCACTAGCGTTACCACACGTGTCGCTACGTCTCAACAAACAGTCGGAGATGGTGACGCCAGCGAGACTCACGAGACAGAGACAACGTGTTCTTTCGGTAGCGAATCTGGCGAAATGTGCCGTTTCTCTGGGCATCGCGGAGCTAATTCAGGGAAATGAGCACGAAGCTGCTCGACTGCAAGAAGAATATGGACTAGCGAACACTCTTCGTGCCTTCGTGGGCTTCCACAGTGCCGTCGCGACCACTTCGACGCCCTCAAATCGCCCCAGTAATGTGCTGGTTAACGTCATCTGCACAATGCTTTACGACGTTGCATTCTCAGGTGACAATGACTTCAATGCTTCGATTAAACCCTGTAAAATCCCCGAGAGAGAGCCGCTAGTGGCGATGATGCAGTCAGTGGGAGAAGCCCGTGTGTTTATGAACAGCAAGGCGTGTGACGAACTCCACGCACCAGGAGAGAGACCAGTTTCCGACGCAGCTCTAGAGCGAAGGCGTCAACCGTCTCTGCTACTGCGCCAATGCATCGACTCGACTCGACTTGAAACCCTCTTTGAGACGCTCAACAAGGAGCAAGAAGCGCAACGACAGCGAAGCGAAGCTGCTCCTTCACTTCGAAAGAGGAGACCCAAGAAGAAGAAAACCGTTGATGGGTTTGCTGCAACCGCTGGCTGTGTCACTCGCAATCTAGAGCGCTTCCTCCATCGCCGGTTCCTCTTCTGCCTCGAAGAGATTGTGGTGCTCTTTGCTCAGCGTAAAACGGAGGCTTGTCGAGCTCAGATCGCCGTGTTCGAACACGATGTTGAGCCATGTGCCGAGCTGCCTCACTTCCGGAAGTGGGAGGTCTCGACGAGTACACTTACACTGGCGATGCGTGACAGCTTCTTCCGGATGCTACTGCATGATGTTTGCCAGTTCCACGCCGTCATTTCGACTAGTAGGAACGCGAGGGATGGAACGCGGATCACGCAGCTTCGCTTGCCGCTTCATTACACGTGGTCGAACATTGACACACGCATCACGACGGAGCAACAGGCTCGCAGTTAAGTTGCGTCTCCGGCTGGGTGCTTGGATTCGCTGGAGTTACTGGGATCACCTTGTGGACTTAATCCGCGGCGTTGAGCAGCCGTCGCTAGCATGCAAACGGTGTTTTCTACCGAGTGTGAAGCAGGCCGAGAAAGAGGCGATAAGGTCGTCTGGCCTCCATGATCTTGGTGTCCTGGCATCCTGAGACCCCTTTCTCGCGTGACTTTTGGAGGGATTCAATGGCTTGGTCTCGACCAACGTGGAAGTGGTTTAGTGTCGTTGGTTTTTTGTCGAACGGAGTGAGCGGTAGAACAAACACAAAAAGGAGAGTTGCTTGGTGGAGATTGTTGATGCTCTTGCCGTTCTTGTGAAATTTTGATCCGTCGACCACTTGGAAGAAACACGAAGGACGTCAAGTCCTGCTAAACTGAAGGCGAAGGACAATCTGAACTTCAAAGCTTGAAGACCCAAGACGCTCAGGCTCCAGCGGGACGTGATATTGGTAGCATTAGTACCGTCGCAGACTAAGGGGAGACTACTCTTGCAAATAAAAATGAGTGAAGAGTTGAATACTGGGATGCACGGAAATAGTATCATTTTAATACCAGATAAATAGAGTAAATCACGTGGGTGCACTGACAGACTACCCGCCCTTGCATCGTCTTTCGAGTTGACATCAACTCATCCTCTTGTAAAAAAGACTCCTCGTTGGTACTTGTAAGAACCACGTGCGCAGCATCGTTTCCAGCAAAAGTGAATGCTTAGGCATCTCTTGGAAACTCACGAGCTGGTTTCGCAGTGTTGGGTTTTAATCCAGGTGGATCCAAAAGCCCCCGACTTGCAATCATCATGAGTTTCTTGTCTGTCATCGCTTGTGACAATTTTGGCGTGAAGAGATCACCGGCTTTCCTTTTCTCCTCGTCCCTACGATATTCCAAGTCGCCAATGACAGCCACCATGGGATCCCAAGCAGGTTTCAGCAGGCTTCTTAATCTACAAGCCACGCCCTCAGTCAAGAATGTAAATGTCTTCTTGCTCACTGATTGGAAACATAGCGTAAAGCCAAAGTCCGACGATGCAGCAGCAGCCTCTTTCGTGTCTGATCCCGTGCAATCGCCATCCCCAGCTGCGTAAACGAAGCGCTGGTTCTGGTTACGATCTTGCATGTTCATGGAGATTCGGATTACGTCCCTGATAAGCTTCTCACTCAAAGAGTTCCCACGACCCTGCTCTGTTTGGCTCTTTTCAGAGCTCTCACCGCTTCCAAATACAAACGAAGGCGACAGTCTTTCCAATCCAAACTTTGATAAATCACAATCGGGTTTCACTTTCACCAACATTAACGATATTTTTTCCGGATCCGTCCCAACTCCATCGTTTGATACTTTACGAAAGATCGGAATGAGAAGATCAGCTCCAGATCTCTTGTTGCGAGGGAAAATCCCCGCGGCCCGACGGCCCAGTAGAAACCATAACGTGTTTTCGTCTGGCTCCACTCGGAGCTGTACGAAATGAGTGAATCCCATTTGCCAGCCATCCCAACCTGTCAGCCAGCTGTGAAATGAGTCCACCACATCCGCGTTTGCAGGTAGCATTCCCGGAATCCGCACTCCCATCTGTGTCGCTCCCAGCATCTCCAAGAAAGAGGAAACAGGAAGAAACTGGCCCCTGAATTTCCAGGAAGTGGTACTCAGCACACACCTGTCCATCGCGAGGAGCAGCACGATACAAGCGACTACCTCCTCAACACCACCGATATCAAGGGATTCGTTAAGCACTAACGTCTCGAATTGAGGCAAAATGAACTCCTCTAGAGCGTTTCGGAGTCCATACCACACCTTCATTGCGCCTAGAGTTAGTATCGGGTCCGACGCGTAGCTGCATACCAAGCCTTCTGTCTCGTAGCTTACATACGCCAGAACTGCCATATAATTACCGACGGCTTGAGATGCCAACGGCGACGTCGAACGCGGACGCACACCTAGTCTACAAAGCATGGACGCGACACCAAACATGGTATCTTTCCGGTAGTTCCGAGGCCGCGGGGGGAGTCCCAGCAACAGTTTATTCGCTGCCAGTCCGACTGCTTCGTCCCGCGTGCACGGAATGATTCCATACCTCTCGACTAGCTCCGTAGCGGTGCTCTGCCACAATGGACGACCCATTTTCAATAGCGATTCCCAAGCAGCGTCTTCTTTTCCCGTCACATTTTTCTTGTATTGGACGATATCGGATCTCATGCTTTTATTAGAAATCACATCAGCTTGATACATTTCATTTTTGTCTTCGCAATCTTTTTGCCAAAGTGCATCCATCGTGTGAGTGAGAACAAAAGGCGGAAACGAAATCAACCCCTGGCCTGTCGAGTATTGAGATAACGATACCGGTGGTGCGACGTCCAAGATCGTTGGGCTTGTATCTACCAGCACCGCGACAACGCCACTATTTTTGGGCATACACATGTTTGCTTTGGCGAGAGCCCGTAGCAACATTCGGAGATGACTCACTTCATCCTCACTAAGCAGACTCCTCGCTTCGTCAATCACCAAGACCACTATCCTTCCACTCGAATTCTCCGTCAATTTAATTTTATCTTCGGACATATCTTGCAGTTTTGTCAGCACCCTGCGGGGTCGGTAAACAATTTAATCCACTCGGTCTGAACCGTATTCCAGTACTTTATGGCGTATTTACATGTATATATTACCTTCAATTGATCCGCGATACTCGCCGGAGTTGACATATCATTGAACATCCACTCTCGAAGCTCCTTCGTCGCCTTCGGATACCCCGTCGACGTGAGCGGGCGGTCGCACGTGTAAATTACTTTCATCTTGGCATCGTCCCCGCTCGCCTTTCGTGCGAGTTCAAACAACATTCGGCTCTTACCGAAGCCGGAGCTCTGAACCACCGCCACAGACGGGGCAACGAACGTGTTCGGCAGCTCACAGTACATTGTCCAGCACGTCCACACGTACTCGTTAAACTCGGTGCTGGCATCACCAATGTACGGACTTTCTGTGAACCGACCTGAAGCCTTATTTGATCTTCTGTCCAGGTAAAAGGTTGAGTTTTGTCTTTTGACCCAAAGCGTTCTACAAACGCCTTCGCTGTCGTTGCAGCAACAGTGGCCACGACTCCGCAGGGCGCGTTGTATCCTAACCGAGTCGCTATTGATATAATTACTTGGAGTCGGGGGCTGACCTCGTGGAGCTTGCGTGGGTCGTTAAATTGCTCAAAGTCTCTTGTGTGCATGACATCTTTCTCGGTCAGTTCTTCGCCGGTTGCGTCCACTATTGCGAGAAACTCCTCGTTCTGCTTCAAGAGAGTGAAAATGTGGTCGTTGACGAATGCAGCCAACTCCGTGAGGCTCAACCGGCTTGACTCGCTCTGCTTTAGGAGTCAGTCATTAAGGAACAGATATTCTAGAGCGCTAAATCAAGGCGTACCTGCATTGCAATGTTGAAAAATGGGCTTTCGACCCCCCTCCCCCTTTCCATCAATCTTGTCAGTGACTACCATGGAGCAACAGGCTCGCAGTTTAGTTCCGTCTCCGCTTTGATGCTTGGATTCTTTGGGTTGCTTGGGAGCATACGCATGTGATGCTTTGCCGGTGTCTGGTTGCGTTTTGGGGCTTCCGAGACGAATCCTTGTGGACTGGAATCGCGAAGCTGAGCAGCCTTTGCTAGCATGCTAACGGCGTTTTCTACCGTCTGGGAATCTGGTCGAGAAAGAGGCGACAAGATCGTCTGCGAAGTCGGTACTCGCTTGCCCAAAGCTCGACACACTCGAGCCTCCATAACGTTATCTTGAGCAGCCGATGTCCTGGCGTGTCGGATGCTTGATGCCCCTTTCTCGTGGTATACACGTTCGCGTTGCCTTTGTAGGAAATCGGCGCCTTTGTCTCGACCAACGTGGAAGTCCAGAGGGCGGTTGAGAGCTGCAGCGACGCCGCGTGATCGCTTCTGCTTGCTCCATTGCGAATCATTCTCGTACGACAGCGTAGTTGGCGCAGATTCGGATCGATTGAGGCAGGTATCACTGTGTTGATTAGCGTGGGGATGTGAGGTAACACTGCTAATTACCGGAGCTTGGTCGATGTGTGGGAGTGTTTCCAGTGACATGGTTGTGTCTTCTGGATCGAGTGCTTTAGTGTCCTCGCTTATACGAACGGAGAGAGGTTGTTCGGTTAGAGCGAAGACGGAAGGAAGTGTATTCGGCGAGGATTCCTGCTGTTCCCGACGTTCAGGTGAAGCTTCGCTCTGTCGATCACTCGGAAGAAACAGGCAGGACACGTCGTCCAGATCTTGCCACCATGCCTTTCTCTCGGTTCGCTTTCGAAAGAACGCTTGACCTGGTCTCGTTCGCTGTAGATGACGATTAAGAGCGACCGGTTGGTGCGATGGAGGCGTTGCACTGGGCAATCGAAGGGGGCGATCGACCTCGTCACTTGTGACTTCATGTGGAGCCCTCTCCACAACGCGTGGTATAACTACACGATCGGTAGATTCGTTGGATTCCCCAACGTCAAGCGCCGATAGACTTTTAAACCCCACGATGAGGTCACAGAAGTCGTCTTTCACTTGAACACTTCCTCGAGCACAGCTATCCACGACAATATGCTGTTAGATTTGTTAACAGAGGGATACAGCCGAGGACTTACAGTCGACATAGAGACTCCATCGCTCTGTCTAGCTCTTCATGTCGCCGTTGCCACGTTCGATCCAGTCGCTTCAAGGCGAATATGGCGTCGTCCAAGTCGAGAATTCGGCACATTTCGAAGATAAATTCTGGCTGTTGATACTTTGCAAGAACGCGGAAAATTAAGCTGGTACGCGCGCATTTTGCGAACCCCATGACGTATCGGAGGAAGTCAAGAAGCTTCGATACTTCAGGGAATAACGCAAGTACGGCGACTGTATCACTCAGGGGCATAGCGTCGCCCAGTGCTTCTCGGATCACATCTTTTAAGAGCAATAAATTGTCGTCGAGAGAGAACAAACACACGGTCTTTGCCACTTGGTTCAGCAACTCCGTGGACTGTTCCAGACGCTGTTCTACGTCGCAATGCTCAGCCATTAGACGCAGAAAGAACCACAGCGGTTCGCTTGCTAGTAAGCGGAGGAGAGACGTGTGATACCTGGCATCCACCAGGCCAATCACGCGACAGAAGGAAGCGCTCACGGGCTCACAGGACGAGCTACAAATCGCCGTACAGAAAGCCCCCACAGAGTTCTTTGGCATCTTCACAAGCCTAGCGAGAAGCCGCGTGCGTGCCTGGACATTAAGCTGCAGGAAGAGCGCTACAAGACTCACTCGAATGTGGATTTGAAGCGGGCTTAGCAGCAGAATCAGCAGCCGTAAAGCCTCGTTGTCTTGGAGATTGGACGCTACTTCTGCCAGGTTTTCGACGTTGCTAACGCCTTCCAACGCTCGAAGCTGCTCGATGAAAGCCGAGCGAATCTCCCACGACATTCGATGGAATATCGCAATCAAGAGGTGCATAAGTTCCGGTGGCACTCGCGTGGAATAGCCGATGATACGGAGCAGAACCCCCTTCTCCGGACGATCCGTTAGCATCTCAAAGAAGAGATCTCGAATATGAACTGGCAGACCAGCAGCGAAGATGACGAGTTCTCGACTAGAAGCCTGGTTCATCATGTCCACGGCCACAGTGATGAAAACCTGTAGCTGCTCTGCACTAACGTACTGGGACCCCATCAACTTGGCGAACATTTTGTACTCGACTTTGGCGAGCATCAACAACAGCTGGAAGAAGGCATCGAGTGCTTCTAATGGCCACGCAGACATTTTGGCTAATAATCGACAGTTCGCACCACTCGGCATACTCAGCATAAGACGCGTTAGCGCGACTTGTTCCGGCATCCGTTGGGTACGCAGGAAGTAAAGCAGACTATCGTATTTGTCGAATGGGATCGTGCGTAGCAGGCGAAGAACTTTATGACGAGCGAGGTCGCATTCGCAGAGATACAGCAGAACTTTGGCGTGGATTCCGATGGACGAAGAGTGCCCTTCGAGCTGAGCTTCGTGATGGCTTTGGATATCTCGACAAAGTATCGTCTTGTCTTTCTTATGGAGAGCTCCGAGCATTTGAAGAACAGTCGTGACTTTGTCTTCACACGTGGCTTGCAGGTGAAGTAGCGTGTCGTAAAGTGGCTGTGCCTCCTCTCCTGGCATCTCTTCGACTAGCGGGACTAACACTTCTCGCCAACCGAGTGGGATAGCGAGGAATAAACGTAGAAAAGGCTGCAGACACGGCAGCTCTACAGTCTCTAGACCCCGACCCAGTACCGCCAAGTCTTCTGCTGAGTGAACAGCGATAGTGTACAGTATTTGATGAATCATTTCAGTAGGCAAAGACGACAGTTTTTGGATAACTAGATCTGGAGATTTCAGACCAGCGTAAAGGAAGAATTTCATCAGAAAATTGTTTCCTGTTGTAAGAGCTGGAATCGCGAATGCGTCCTCGGGATCTTCTTCGTAGCTCGACGTATCTGCGTTTAAAGGAGAGCTCGACGCTGTAATCATGAGATCGAGAAATCGGAGTTGGCTTGGAGGAGAAAAAGTCAGAAAACGCAGTAGAAAATCAGCTTTCTTCCGGCCAAAAGCGAACAAAGTTGTCACGAACACTTCGATGGCGTTAATCTCGGCGGGAGCGAGAGCGTCCAGCATCTTCAACAAGTCGTTTTTCGGGAAGTAGGGCAGACCACGTTTGACTACCAAGTGAATCATCTTCTCGCTGTTGAATTTAGTGAACAGAGTGATGAGAATGATGGTCGGAAACTCTTCGAGAAGAAAGGAGAGCTCACAACGCACAGCGACGTCCAGATCCAGTAGTTTGGCTGCCGAGATGCCGGTGGTTTCGTAGAATCGACCCAGTTTCTTCAGTGTACTCGTTGTGGTGGGTAGAAAGCCGCTGGTATTTGAAGCTGCGAGTAGTCTGTGGATAGCGTCGATAAGAGAAAGTCTCTTCATAGAGTCCAGTGGTCGTAGTAGTCCAAGCCACGTGAGCATGCAGTGCTCTTTGATCGCCCTACTCACAAAGTTTACGGCGCTCTCATAGCCTGGTCTGCACGCCATGTCACCTTCGACTTTGACTGCTGCGTGCTCTAGTTCGTCTAGCCAGCTGATCCACTCACGAAGTTCCGGTAGGTCGTCAGCGAAGAGATCTAGAAATTCTTTCTGGACTTTGAAGGGCAACGTCTTGGCCACGACGCAGTACGTGATGGCTCTTGATAGCCCAAGAGTCTGGTAGATTTTCGTGAGGAGATGGCGGTCTCTGCTGTCTGCGAACGAGGCGTAGAAGTGTAGGAGCTGTCTTGTCACTGCACCGTCAGCAGCAGATTCAGAACTGTCGAGATGTCTGCTACGTAGGGGGCGCTGACGATCGTGTGCTGCTATATAGTGATGCATGCGAGTAAGATCTTGTAGATAGTATTCCACGTCGTCGGTGGGGTCGAATTGGTACGAGAACCACGAAGCCACGTTGGAAAGAGCAGGAGTGGGTTGCATGGCGCTCAGGGTGTCTGCTAGCTGCGCTTGCTGGGGTTGTCGGAAGCGACTGCTTACCATGAGGCGAAGCTCATCTGCTATCGACGATTTTTCGAGACCCAGTAGCGATAAGATTCGCTCCGGGGGCGATGGGGCTGTGTCATGATCATTGAGCGCCATCAAATGGATAATAAAGTGGCTTATTAGTTGGCGTTTCTGCTGACCCGACTAGCAACTTGAAATAGCACAGATTGTTACGTTTCTCAAAACTCACAGTTGCTTTGGCTCCAAGTCAATTCATTTTTCAAAGATAGCCTTTTTATCAGGTAGAAACCCTCTGCTCCATTCTGAGTAGAGTTTCTTGTCTGTCATCGCTTTTGACATTTCCCCTTCCTCGACATTTACAGTTTCGTCAAGCTTAAAAAAACGGTATGTACAGTGTTTTTTTTCCACGGTCTGATAATATATTGGCCGGAATTTTTGCCCCCTTTTGTAAATAAGCATTTTGCAATCTCATCGGCTTCGCATTTTCTCTTGTTAAAGCAACCAATTACATGTAGAGCGTCGTCTGGGAAATCATTCATGAAAGTGGCATTCGATATTGTTACGATCCAGCACTAGCAGTAGACAGAGCTGTAGACTGTTGTCATTTCGAGACTGAGTCCCTACTTATTTAGGGCTGGCTGCTGCCACGCAGCCATCCACTCATCCTACTTCAACATCTTTCTGTTAGTCTGCATCTGACCAACGCCACGCCTCTCTTGTATGAGGCTGCCTCCTGCGGAATGCAGCCGTAGACAGTCCTTGACTCAAAGGCAGATCATACCGTAAAATACGGCCGGATTGAGACAACATTATTTGCTCGAATCATTAGTTGAAAAGATAACCTTATGAGGTTTTATCACAGGACGCGCGCGCATTATTTACAGTTTCGCGCGCGCCACCCACACGATTAGCAATGCGCAAGCCCAAGAACAAGAATCGCAGCATGTATCAGGTATCATATAGTGTTTATCTCCAACTTCTGCTACAAGTGCTAACTCAGTATTTTGGTGGTAAGTTGGCCTTCTATTTTGCTAATCTTTTTCCTATAGAAGCCTGATATGTATTGGGACGATCAATCAATGTGATTGTCTTTCCGATCTGTTCTGCAGTAGTCGCTCGCTGCCAGACTGCCACTCTATCCAGGAAGTCTGGCCACCTTTCCAAGTTGATGTCTGCTGGTTTGTTGTACTTCTTGGTTTCTTGTCTCTGTGCAAGGAATCTTGCAACTGCGAGCGATCTCCTTGTTGGTTTTATCATCTGTACTGCGAAAAAGCTGTATTGTGGCTTGTCTGAAGTATCTCGCTTCAGAACTGTTTTCTGTTGGCTGGTTCGTGTTCGTGTTGTGCTGATTGCTTCAATTTGGAGTAATACCTGCGTCGTTGATTCCTGGTTCTTGATGATTTTGCTTCCTGTTTGGATTATCCTGTCGTTGTATTCTGCTGGTGGTATTTGCACTGGAAAGGCTATGCTGCTTGCTGCCTGCAGCTGCCATTCCTGTTTATTCTCCAGCTTATACAGCAGCCATCCACTTGACGCTTTGGTTTTCATCGTGTGGTACTGTAATTGCCATACTGCGATGATTGTCTGGTTTTCTGTCTCCCATGTCTGGTTCATCATTGCTTGACAGATTTCCAAACAGTAGCCAGCCACTCTTGTTTTTTTCTTGTGATGTCCATGCACTCACTACTGCTTTCACTTGGAAGGTTCCTGCTGTCCGGACTATCTGTACTACTTCACTGGACGTGGTGTGTAAAGTTTCGAAGATGTACTTATTCCGAAGTCTCCATAAAATCGTGGGTGTTACCGTGGTCCAAATCCTCCATAGTGTCTTCATTGCTGCTTCATGGTTTGAATACATTGTTGTGCTTTCGTGAGAATTTGCGCTGTAATGGCTGGCGCTTGTCGAGCAGCTACCTGTGGTATTTGTGCTGTTCGTTCGTTCGGTGTTGTTGTCTTCGCTAACCAACTTTCCATCCACGATTTCCACGCTAGCTGAGCCCTCTCACATTCCCAGATGATGTGTTTCGCTGTTTCTTGTTGCTCCATGCATTGTGGCTCCGGGCATTGGCGATTGCTAGGCCATCCCTCGTGAAACAGGTTAAGTGCTCCAATTGCCAGTCGGTATATGGTCCGATTTTGGTAATCTGAGAATATTCCATTGTTCCACATCCGAGTTGTAGTTTGGGTCATTGCGTGTTATTTCTAAGCTGACCTCTTTTGGCGGCCTTGAATTGTCTTCAGCATTGCTGCTAAGTTATGCTTGAGGTTGTTCTTGATTCTCTTCGATCTCTGTTTTCGTATTGCTTCTTGCAGGTGGCTCGCTTTCGTAGCTGCAGGTGCTTTCCATGGGAATTTTGCTATGCTGGGGCTGGCCTTGAACGCTATACCTTCTCGATTCTCCCACGCTGCCCAGTTTGCTGCGTCCGCTGTTTTCCCATATTCTTTTGAAACCGACGTGATCTGCCAGTCCCATCCATTGGATGCTCTTGTAAGTGTCATGCCTGTGTCCCTCCCTCGCTGTATCCCTTCTTGCTCTTACTATTAATACGGCTTTGTCTACATTATCTATCTCCCATTTTAATTTTTCTTCTAGCTTTGGGGCCGTGAATGGTTCTAACTCTTTTTTTGTGGGTTTCCAGCATCGTTTGGGCAGACCAAGTAATAAGCTTCGGCTCCATCTGAGTATTTGCTTGTGTTGACAAAGCTTGTAGATCTGCGCTTGAAGTGGTGGTTTGATAACTGTACCGTATTCTCCTGCTGGTGTCAATCCTAGTTTCTGCTTGACCTCAATATTTGGAGCAGTGGTTGACACAACATGACACAATAATTCTGGGAGGAGATTTGAACTGAAAACCTAGCCGGGATCGCATCACCAGGCAAATTCCCAGCACAGCAGCATGTGAAAGCCTACCTTTAAAGCACCTCATGGATAAATATGATATGACGGACGGAGTGGAGCTACACCATGATTTAGAAGAGGAAGATGAGAAGATTGAAGCACTACGCTACTTCACACGGTGGAGCAAGAACGGAGCCAGTAGGTTAGATCGATTTTACGTCAAAGGAGACGCATTTCAAGCCACACAAGCAGTGAAAGTCATGGACGCAGCACATGAATCAGATAACCAGGAATTACGACTGGAATTAGCAGCAGGAAAAGCAATAAGACACAGGACAACCAGGAGATTCTACGACCCTATTCGGAGTGGAAGACCACAAAGAATCAAAGCAATGGTTGCAGAAGGCCTCCTGCCCCTCCTTGAGGTGTTTGATGTATCGGAGCAACCAATAACACAGTGAGACACTTTAGTAACCGAGATCCAACAACTCCTTCAGCAAGTCAGAAAAACGGACCAAAGACCATCGGAGCATTACTACAAGAAATTAAAGGCGGAAACAAGAGTACCCAGAACGACAAGAGGAGAAATATTAGCCGACAACAGCAGACAAGCCAGAAAAGGAGCAGCACGCTTATTTGGAGCACGACGAAAAGGAGGAGATGACGAAACGAGACGCTTCTTTAAGAGGAACAGCGAATGGCAAAGAGACCAGTCAATCACGGACATTCAAGCCTCCGCTGGCCACTTCTACAGCGATGACCACCCATTGCGGAAAGGATGGCCTCAGAGTGGAGCCATATATTTGGGGAATCACATGCAGACAGCAACCAAGGCAGCCCTATGATGATGGAGCAGTTCATGAACATACCACCACAACAACGACTAACGCCGACAGAAGAAGCAGATCGGATGACCCCAATCACGGAAACAGAAACGAAACTCGCCATTGACCACCTCAACCGACACAAAACGAGAGGAACGACTGGACTCAACCATGAATTTTATAAGGACTTTGCAGAAATGATGATACCATCTCTAACAAAATTATTCAATAGCATTCTTCAAGGAGCAGGAGTACCGCCTTGAACAATTGTGGTTGCTCTTCTTTTTTGGCTGGGAAATACACGTTGATTATCAACCATTCGTCCATTTCAACTGCCATGATCCTTTCTGTCCATGACGCTTGGTTCCATGGTTTCACTCTATCACTGATTGTTGGTGATACCAATATCCCCATCCCACTAAATGGAGTTTGTGATAGTTGCCAGTGCCTCAGCGGGTTTTTCGTTTTCTCCACTTACCATGCCCGTTTCCACTGCTTTCTAATTTCCTCTTTTTCTTCGGTGGTGTGAGGGTTAGTTTCTTGAACCAATATCATATCCGGTATTGGGTTTCCTCGTCTTCTCCTCCATCCATTTAACCACCTTCGCCTGGATGCTTTCGCGAATCCTCTTAAATTCTGTGTTGCTATTGTAAATTTTGCTTGGCGTCTATCGATGTTTATCTGCTCACGGATTCTTGTATCTTCAAATAATGCTGCTATGTTGTGAAGGTCCGAGTAGTAGTCTCCTCTCGGAAATTCTCTAAACTTTGATTTATTGTCCTTCATTCAAATTCGTTTCTGCTCCCTCCTTTCTTAGCCCTCGACGTGACTTGGCTAAGTATGGTTTCACCAGTACCTTGTTGTCTCTTTCTGTTCAAGAGCTGCTTGGAGCTCCGGTGAGCTCCCCATTGCTTCCAATAATATTTCCACGTACTCCAAAATCGAGGACGGCTCTTGCGACTGCTGTCCCGCCACAATCATGAGTCCTTCGTAGTAGACTTGAGCCGTTAGAACCATCTTCACCAGCTTTTCTTTTTTATTTGCCCTACAGAGTTTCAACAACTCCATCCCTTCAAAATGGTTTTTCTTCAGTGGTGTCCACAGCTCGTTGGGGTATAAGTTTGTGTTATCTGGGTTTGTTTGATGTTGTAGTCTGAGAGCCTCAATCCATTTTTGTATCCATGTACGTCGTTCTGGGTCGGGAATGTCTTGTTCAATTTGATCCAAACAATGCAGGAAAACCGTTAGGCGTGCCGTTTTAGTCCATTCTTCCAGTACTGCATCTGTCAGTTCCGCTAAGATGTATCCTGGGGCTTGGAGCCGCTGCAGGCTATTTAGCAGTGCTATGGAGTCTGCATGTACTACCCTTTTCCACGTCGCGATTGGAGTTGGTAGTCTCGGGAACGGGCTTTGGCCTTGCCACTGCCTTTCAAGTTGGTTCCACTCTGTTTTGATCAGCTTCATGTGAAGTCCTTGCTGCTGTTCGAGTTGTTGAAATCTGCCTGTAGCCGCATCTTGCTGGCTCTTCGGTGGTTCCTGTTCAGGTTCCGTTGTGTCTTCCATAATCGTGTCTTGTGACAGCCACTTCGATCCTTCCTCTACCTGACTGGAATTTTGCGATTCTGTGTATGTAGATGTGCTCCCAATTGCTTGTAGCTCGGCTTGCCATTGGTGCAGGGTGGTGTCCGCTACTTCGTACACCTTATCCACTCTTTTACCTTGGTTTCATCCCCCCAGTCCAGCTCTCGCAGCTCCCTCCTTGTTCCGGGCGATAGCTCTTCCAGTCCTGCTGTCGGGAATGCTTCTAGTTCCAATTTCCGATATCCTCCGAAGCTGTCAATTGCCTCTTTTTCTGTGGTTGGCTTTCTCTTGATATGCTGATCGGTCGTGCATGTAGTCTTTGTTTCGGTATCTGTACCTGAGTTGCCACTAGTTGTGATTCCGCTTGAAAGTTCGTGGCTGTACTCTGTGTCATCCACTTCTATTGGGGTTGGTTCATCGTCTATCATCTCCTGGTTTTGCTTCTGTTCGTGTGGTGCAATTTGAAGCCAGCTCTAATGTAAAGCTTGGTATAATATGATGATCGGTCCTTGGTTACTCTCATTAATTTGGCTGAGTTTCTGTTGAGTACTTTCGATCCATCCTGCCGCTGCTCCTGTGTTGATTTTTTTTTATTTGACCGTTCGAAACGTTTCTCCCTCCACTGCTCGTTCTGCCGGATAAAAAATCTGATAACACGTTTTTTTCAGGCCTCCCGGTGACACCACTACGTAAATCGTTCGATTCAGAATTTTTGCTAGCATTCTTAGGGTCATCTCCGATCCCCAGTATCTGTGGTCCACGTAATCTGCTTGTTTAGAGAAAGTTTGACCAAGAGCTTTTAGGTATACTTTGAGTGCTTTGCCTGATTAAAGTGGTGTAAGTTTTCCGTTGTCGTCATCAAGTGTCGTCAAAATAGCCTCCCTGATGTCAGGCGGGAATTCCTGCTCAAAGAAATGATTTGCCGCTGCTACCATCCCTTTTTTCAGCTTGGTGGTCAGGATTTCAATCGCTTTATTGTTTTCCATTGTGTCAAAAGTCTGTTGTAATAGGGCCATTGCTACTGCGTAGTATTGACAATTTTCAGTTGCTGGTGTTGCTATTTCCTTGAGCCCTGTCCGCTGTAGCACTTGTTTCCCGGTCCATCCTTCCGTTTCCTGTGGCTGAACATGTAAACAATCTGCATCGTGCTTGAAATCTGTGCTCTTTGCTTTCGCCTTGATTTGTTTGGCTACCAACCTCTGTATCTTCTCCATTGATTGAGATTTCTCTCGTAGTCTGTCCTTCACTTCTTCTGTAATCGCTTTTCCTTTTCCTTCTTGTATTTCTGTTCCTGTTTTTTTGTCTTTGTTTCTGTTTTTTTTTGCTGTAGATTCTGTTTTTGCTTCTCCGTTTTGCTGAGCTTGTGTTCTCCCTTCCTGTAGTTGGCTTCTCTGGTGTCGGCTCGTCTTTCCTTTTCCTACCATATTCCATTCGTCTCTGGTTGTTTTGCTTGTGCTCCTGGCCAAAAGTTTTGGCCGGGGGCCAAAGTTTTGTTGGAAGGTTTCACACCGCTCTTGGGGTTTTCTCCTCTCGCCCAAAAATATATTCTCCAGATTTCTCTCGCCTGGTTGGGAAATGTATATTTTTCGGGGGGTTTTTTCTCTCTGTTTTTCCCCCGAAAAAACCCCATATATTTTTTATATATCCCCCCCAAAAAATTAAGGCGAATTCGTTCTAATAAGCCCTAGACGCGGCTAATAAGCATATGCTCTCCATCCCTCGAGTGTACTCCGTACCATGTGCTTGTCTCCACAGGAAAATCAAGGTGATGCTCTGTTCTTGCTGACATGATGCACCAATATTTTTGTTCCTAATCAGTTGATGACCCTTTTTCTTCCAGGAACTGCGGACAATGCGGACTCCTGAAGTGAATATCCCACGTGTCTGTCTGAAGTGTTTTGTTGTCATCACTTGGCTCTTGCCATGTAATGTTAATCCCGGAAATTTTTTGTTTGATGTAGGCATCGAAGGCAGCTTCATCCAGGAGCCTCGAAATGTTCATGAGGCGCACATGATATCTGTCTTAAGGTTGTTCATTTCTGATGCCATCCAATCCTATTTGTCTGACCCACAGTTGAGTTGCTCGTTGTGTGTTGTCTTGTGGCAGTGGTTCCTCTTCTTGATGCGCGTCCTTGAGTGGAAATTGGCGATTTCTAAAGCTAAGGGTTTTATATTCCTTGCTCCATTCTACTGCCATCTCTCTAGTCCAGCAGATGATGTGAGCTGTGTGGTGCCCTTGGTCATAGCAAATTTGCTTAGCTTCTTGCAGCATCTGTCCTACCTTCTTAGGGTCATTTGCGCTATTCTTGATGCCCATGAAGAACTCATTTGTGAGTCGTTTTCGCGATCGAAAGCCGGATACACCTTAAATTGTGGTGACAGCATGAACATTAGGTCCCCTTTCACCTGAGCCCTAATCGTGTTCTGAATCATCCTGAGTGCCTCGTTCGTGCATACTCTCTTTAGAAAATCAGGGAATTTCGCCATGCAGAGTATCGTGCCTTCAAGGATGCCTTTCACATACCTTTTATTCTGCTTCGGTTGGCTGTCTCAGTGCGTCTTGAAACCCATAGCGATCTTCGCATAATTTCTTAAGTTGCTCGATCTCGTTAGGTTGATAACTTGATCGAAGGAACCTGAATGTGGAAAACTTCGCTCTACCGTTCATTTCGTCATCTTCCGTGTTCTTCTCTGAGGGTAGCACGAGCTTTTCGAGCCACGGGTTTTCTCTGAGGGTAGCACGAGCTTTTCGAGCCACGGGTTTGTTGTCGCTTTTGGTTTTACCCTAGCCGCTTGTTCCGTGAACTCCAGTGTTTCCTTCAGACTCTTCCTTGATTTATAGATTATCCGCGTTAGATCCAACATCCGTGCTCTCCATTTGCGTGCATTTGCTGTTTCCTCTTGGATATCCGTCAGAAACAGTTGCAACATTCGCCGTGTTTCTTCCTCCTCCAGCTCAGGGTAGTGATTGCGGTTCGGTGCTAGTGGTTCCGCCGGTCGTGCTAGAAACACGTCCGCGAACATGTCTTGTATAAACGCTACTACGCTCTCGACACTTGGGCTTGGTCCAGTGTCATTCCTTTGATTTCTCCTCGCACGTATTCGTACATGTCTGTAAACGATAATGGTTCTGCTGTGGCTTCATCAAACCGTGGTGGTTCGGAGGTGTCCGACATAGCTTCCACTTCTGCTTCCTGTTCTTTGTTTTCTGTGTGTTTCTTGGCTGTTAGTGTCGCTCTAGCTTCAGTCTCTGCCTCTTCTCCATCGCTTGGAGTCGTGACATCAATGATCTCTCTGTCCGAGATGGCATTCCTGATGTCCTCCTCCGTTATCGGCCCCTTGGGTCCTCCTCCCGCAGGAGGTTCCTGCTGGCTTTTTATCCGTTCGAGTGCTGCTGGAAGATCGCTGTGCTCCGAATAGAGGTCAGTTTAGTTTTCTCCAGTGAAACGTTCGTACTTAGCTGAAATACTCTTTCGTTTGTCTCTTCGTTGTGGATCACTGCCAGTCCCCACGTGTTTTAGTCTTCGGGCGATCGCTTGAGCAGTCGGCCTCTGATTTGGAAGTGTGCTACATGTAGCTCAGTATTGCTACACTACCGGTTGACAATGATGTTAGCTACATGTAAATGGTACCTGTAATACTACTGGTAAATGACATGTACCAGTAATATCGAAAAAAAAAAATGTACGCGACGCCGATGTTAGGAGGAGCGACCATCGGAGGTGCCACGGGATGTCTCGACGTCGTTCTATTCTTCTTTACTCAAGCCGGCAAGTTTGTAATGGTACTTATTTAACTTTCATTCGATAAAAACGTACACACAATGCCCTCGGTAGTAATCCCTAGAACAGGGATGCACAATAAATGGGGAAAATGACAAAATGTGAGTGGATACACTAAAGCTGTGACAAAAAGTTTAAGGTGTGCCAAAACGTGAGCAAAGTGGGGTCGGTATCGCCGGTAGGTGTACCAAGTGAAACCCGCGTCAGTAAGTGAGAAATTCAGGGAACAAACGTCACAATGTGTGTCCAATCGATTGAATGGCTGAAACAAAGTGGGCCGGACTTAAATCCAAATAACCATTGTATACTAATGTTCGCCTTGCGTATGAAGACCCAAATCGTACACTCTTAAGTCCCAAAACAACTTATTACGACTGAGGGATGCAATATGGCGGAGGACATCGACAACATCGCTGATGGATTGAGCAGCGGTGATGAGGAAAACACTATTCAAGTCGGAATGACTTTTGATACTGCTTCACATGCTCGTCATGCTGTTCAAGACTACGCTTTATCTCATGGGAGGTCTGTACAGTACGAGTGTTCCGTGCGTGTCTACACTCAGTACTGCGACCTTTGCAGCATAACATGGCATCATGCAATACCAGTGTCTGGTGAGCCACAAGAATTCACAGCTACAGGTCCGGATCACCTAGCCCAGCTCGTACTTGAGCAGGAAATGGATGAGTTTGCAGTGAGCGATCTGCAGGCCTATTACACGACGTGGCTATGTTTGTAATATATCTCCCTGAGTCGAAATAACTCGCACGGGTTATCTCCCCTGAGTCAGAATAATTAGCGCGAGTTAACCTGACTTTCTCCCTGATTCAGATTAAGTCGCACGAGTTGATCTGAATTATCTGAGTCTGATTCGTTTCGAACGGTTGGTTCCGGTGGCCAATCTCGAATTAGGGGCGCGATGTCCAAGCGCAAGTGCACCCAGCGGACCGAGAGAGAATATAGAGCTGCTGAAAAAAGTGGAAAGCCCATCCAGAATGGACTATAGCAGACGCTTCGCGAGAGCTAAACGTCAAGGAGTCTACCCTGCGGGGATGAAAAAAAACAGTATTGAGATAAACTAGACTGGGGGTTCTGTGATTACCGGTATCGTTCCCCAATTGGGATTGGCTCCCACCGACCAACAACGGGATTTGCTAAATGCCAAGTTGTGACAGTAAGTGAGTCGGTACGAAAGCTGTGTTCCCCATCTTCGTCTGTGATCATTTTACACATTCTGTCACTACTTTCATGTACAGAAGTGCACCCCGTTTTCGCGCCCTTGGACCTTTGATAAACTTCCGGATGTTATAATTCTAAATCCAAATGAAGTAAAGCGTTTTATCTAAAATATGAGTTACTTGCAAATCCTATATATTTCATTCCCGCGAAAACGGAGTGCAGTACTGTATCCACTCACCTGGTGTCATTTTCCCCAATAAATTTGCGGCTCCCGATGACCAGCTGCAAACAAATTTAAGATAATCCCCACCATAAATAGGGATCATAGTTTACCAATAACTCGCCACAATCAAACCAGTAGTAAATAGTACTATGAAGACTGTCAAACCTTTAAAATTGGTTATACGTGTCTATAGCTTCCAACAAGTTGGCATGTTCGTTCGCCATCGTAGCAGCCACCATGTTTGATCTTGCGGAACGGGTTGTTGTATCCACGTTGTCAGGGGGCTGAGTTGCTCCGTCGGCGGGTATAAAGAATCTTGTGAGGAGATCAGTAATATAACTACAATAAACGTTCATGAAAGTAAAGCTTGGAACTGCAAGTATACCATGCTGGCCGTACAATATTATTGTACTCCTTTTTACAACTGACATCCCGCGATAGGAATCTAGGTCCCTGAAATGGGAATAAAAAGCGGTATACTTAGCACGAATGACAAAATAATCATTAGTATTTACTGTACCGGTACGTAGCACGAATGACAAAATAACCATTATTACCGCATTGCCCCTGTCCTAAGCGAACGCCTATGTTCGACGTTTACGGGTAAGATTACTTGCAAATCTCATAATGAGAGCTAAAAAGTAAAAATTATCCGACACTATTCCAGTTGAACGTTCCGTTCGTGAAAGACCTGCCTCCATAAATTCCAAAGTGGTCCGCTGGTGAGAGCTGCTAATAGTATTTCGGTCGAACACCTCAGGCTATTTGTACGCTGTCGCTCTTCCTTTTGCATCTTTATCAACCCCGGTCAGAGTCTGACTCAGACTGCTGTCTATAATTAGCTCGCGAAAAGACCCTTTAATGGGCAGCCATCTGTTATGAATACAGCGCTGTTATTGGCCATAATCGAAGTTCGCTTAGGACAAAACTTCGCTTAGGACAGGGGCAATGCGGTACGTCAAGTAATTCAAAGTGATCAATCTGGGCGGATAAATGTGAGATTTGAAAACTCCCATCAGGTCTTCCAGTTTCCATCTTGTCTTCGAGAGCACACTCTCCTCTACTCGCTAAGTGCAGTCGAGACCAAGCAATGCGCCTAGCAAACGCTCTCGTGGTGTTAATAGTCGTTTATGTTGCAAGCGTCAGAGCCACATTGGCGCCTTCTGACAAGTCCAGACTACTTGGGCAAGCGACCTCCACGAATGTCAGCGATAGACCTCTATCGAGCTGCGACAATAACAATGGCGACAACACCAACACCGAAGAACGAGCTATCAACTTGTCTGATGCCAAACAATGGATCAAAACGATGTTCAAAAACTGGTACCAGACATAAGACGCGAGAAGGCAACTAAGGAGCTGACTAACGATGTCTCCCCAGAAACTGTCGATAAAATGCGTCAAAATGAGCCATTCAAGCGCGAGATGTTTAAGAAATGGAACAAATACAGGATGGAGGACATCAAGCTGAAACTCGGTCAAGAAAGGCTCAACAACGAAGGCGTTGCAAAAATGCTAGTAAACTACGTCCAGGACTATCGAGTTTACAGAAACATTCGAGGCTGGAGAGAGGTAAAGTAAATAACGTGCTGCATCGCCGCCATCGCTTGCCAACCGCCAAGTTTGCGTCCGACGATTGACAGATTACAAAGAGAATAGCTGGAATCTTGACGTCGAAAGTTGGAATCGTCAAATAACACGGATTGCTAACTATGTGGAAGTGTTGTCTGAAAAAGAAACCTACTAAACAAAGAGAATTTTGATGCTGGTGTTGGAAAATGTATACTAAAAAAGTCTTACGAATGGCCACTTGCATAATGCCCAATTCTTGACCACGATGCAGTACGCCCGTGTCGTCTCCAGTCGTCACTACACCATTTTAGGTTCGTTCTTCCCACCGCAGGAGTTCGATACAACCACCCCAGAGCCGACTTGCACATAGGACCGGGCAAATCTCAGTTCAAAACACCCAATGCCTGAGTTCAATACGCACAGGTGTCTCTTTTTTTTTTTTGCCAATTACTGCGAAAGTACCAGCTTTTGTCATTTCGAAACCATTCGAGAACTCAAAGGCATCCATCCATTCATCGCTTCGCCTCGCGCCCCTTTCGTTTTGGCAGAATGGGTAGCACTTACCCTGAAGACGTTCGTGCACGTGTCCTCGGGGCAGCGAAGGAGGGTGAGAACTGGCGATTGGTAGCAGCTCACAACGGCGTTGTAGTGGAGACTGCGCGGGCTTGGGTGGAATGGTCATGGATTCCATGCCGGACGTATTTCCTGTCACGTTTTAAAAAACGTCCTCAGATTTGTAAGAAGGAACAGACACATGCATGTAATGTTCACCGTGAACTTCACGGTCATCTACTTATAGCCGTTTTCGACCAGGTCTAGAGCTATTCACTGATACTCAACGAGCGTAATGCAGAGAATTCCCTCGGAAGTCATAGCGTCGGGAGCTCGCAGTTATTCCTATTTCAGGGACCTATATTCATAACCGCGGGATGTACCATAAAAAGGGATCATAGTTTAATAATAACTCGCCACAATCTAACCAGCAGTAAATAGTACTATGAAGACTGTCAAACCTTTAAAATTGGTCATACGTGTCAATAGCTTCCAACAACTTGGCATGTTCGTTCGCCATCGTCGCAGCCACCAAGTTTAATCTTGCGAACGAGCTGTTGTGTCCACGTTGTCAGGGGCTGGGTTGCTCCGTGGGCGGGTATAAAGAACCTTGTGAGGAGATCAGTGATATACCGGTAACGACCAGAAACGTTCGTGAGAGTAAAGATTGGAGCTGCAACTATTCTATGCTGGCATTCCGATGTCCTGTATTATTGGACTTACTCATAGTTAATCATCCCACAATGCATGTTATTGTAATCCTTTTACAACTGAGGGATGAGAGAAGAAATTTAATTTAAGTTTTATGCTGCTGGTCATCGGGAGCCGCACATTTATTGGTATTGAACGTGCCACGGATTACCACCGAGGGGGTTGTCTGTAGCACTCATGAAGATGATGTTAAATATAAAGTTCGGGTGGAATGCCTACATGTGGTGTAGCACACACCACCGCCACGTCATCGACGTGTGGTACATGGTACCACGCACTCTGATGTAACGGGGTTCGTAACCCCCAGTGTACCCCTAGTTGATATCTGGTGCATGATACCAGGGTCATCAGAGGCCAACCATTGGCTGATGACATAGCTTTACTAAAGGTAGCTTATAGTATTTCTATTTAACTCAAGCTTGGCATACCTATAAATACATTCAGTTTACAATTTACATTAAATTGGTCACTTCGCTCCCTTAGACAAAAGGGGCCTGTGAACTACTGTTCACTGAGAGTTTGTATACTCTCGGAGCCAATTTCCTCTAGCGCAAGGTGCTGTGTGACCTCGTCACACTTGATAGCACTTGTGGACATTCCATGCCAACGCGCGTAGACTACCTGAGCTTCTCTGAAGTTCGTCGCCATGGATAGGAACGACTTATCCCATCTGAACGACTCACATTTCGAGTCGGTTC